TTTATGATTGACAGTTTGGTTTACTTGCTGTGGTAACTCTGGTACTCCTCCCCCAGTCTCTCCTGTGGCCACCCCCTCAACATCCAGTTCAGAACTTTCCATAATATTTTGTCCTTTTGGGTGTGTTCTGCAATATCTCTGGAAGTTACTGGGCTGGTTGGGTTGATGTCGATCAGCAGTACTTGGGTGGTGGGTATGGGGTCTTCCACTAGTTCTGGCAGTGTGCAGTGGCTGAGAGCATCGGCGTGGCTGATGTTTTTGTCAGGTTGGTGGATCAGCTCACAGTGGTACGCAGTGAGGAAAATGACCCATCTGGTCATTCTCTGGGACATGTATGGAGGGGTCTGTTGGTTGCCGGCGAAGAATCCTAATAGGGGCTTATGGTCGATCACTACCTCGAAATGTCTTCTGTATATGTACTCGTGGAACTGCTTGATTCCTGCCACCACGGCTAAGGCCTCTTTATCAATTTGGCTGTAGTTGCGCTCAGCCGGTGACAGGGTCTTTGAATAATATGCTATTGGTGCTTCTGTTCCATCTGGTAAGCGGTGGCTGAGGACCACCCCGACTCCGAAAGGGGAAGCATCACAGGTGATCCGGACCGGCAATGTGTGGTTGTATTGAATAAGGATGCTGTCAGATGAGAGGAGGTCTTTAGCTGCTGCGAATGCTTGGTCTTCCCTCCGTCCCCAAGTCCATGGTGTCATCTTCCCCAGGAGATTGTGCAGTGGCTCAGCAATGATGGTCTTCTGTTGTAAAAAAATGCTGTAGAAATGTAACAGTCCCAAAAAGGCTTGTAGTTCTGCCTTATTCTTTGGGGTGGGAGCGTTCTTAATGGCGTTCACCTTGCTGTTGGTCAGGTGGATACCCAACCTATCTATTAAGTAGCCCAGGAACTCTACCTGTCTTACGCCGATTTTGCATTTATTAGGGTTTACTTTGAGTCCTTTTTCCTGGAACCTCCCCAAGGTCTCGTGCACGCGTTCCATCAACTGGCCTATTGACTCTCCTGATATAAAAACATCATCAAAGTATGGCATCACCCCTGGGATCCCATGCAATAGCCACTCCATTAGGCACTGGAAAAGTCCTGGGGCTATGCTGACCCCAAACTGCAACCTGGTACATTTAAATAGATATTTTTTTTTATTTTTTAGATATTTTTATATTAAATATATTATGGAATATATTATGACTGTTACCATATACTATTCTGTTTCTGCCCTGGATTAATGTAGTCTAGAATGTGTGAGGGTACATAATATATACTCATATGAAACACGCGCATACACACTATATGTGTGGTGTGTGGTGTGTGTGTGTGTGTGTGTGTGTGGTGTGTGTGTGGTGTGTGTGTAATCAGAGATCAATAGTTTATTCAGAGAAGAAAGGCAAAATGAAAGTCATGGCAGTGCAACTGAAGGGCACTTCACCATAAATGGAGTGTTNTTATTGTAGTTCATCCATTGGGGCAAAGAATTCAGTGACATCGTCTTGGCCACTGCCACCCAGTCACATGGCTGGCAAGCCACTCCCACCCAGTCACATGGCTGGCAAGCCACTCCCACCCAGTCATATGACCAGCAAGCTACTCCCATTTAGTCACATGGCCGGCAAGCCACTCCCACCCAGTCACATGACCAGCAAGCTACTCCCACAAAGCAGGCCACACCTACAGAAGAGGTTCCAAAAATTTTTGAAACCCACCATTGACAGGGATGCATTTGTCTGCAATTCTTTAAACAAAATATTCTCCCTTTTCTGGGGAAGAAAGGAAATTGCATAATCCCAGGGGGAAAAATGCATCTGCCGTAAAGAATTGCAAATGGGTGCAGCATTCCTTTCTCTGTGCTCTCAAAAATATTTTTGGTTTGCATTTGAATCCAAAATGCAGTGATATAGTACAAGGGGGCAAATAAGAATACACAATCAAGCAATTTTATTTGAAATAAGTGATTTGTAAACTTATCTATGGCCAGTCTTCTAAGCCACTGTTTTGCAAAAACATTCACAACAATAAATATTCATCAGAATCCAAATATAGGATTCCAACTTTAGGTGTAATTTATGGCTGCCTGTTTTGTTTCTACTAGTAGTAAATATATGTTAAAAATCATCATTTTTATCATTATTCCTGAAGTGGAAGAAACAATTATATAAAAGGCTTCAAATTTAATTGAATATATCATTACAATTAAGCCAAAGATGCAATTCCAGTAAATTAGAATTTGCTCACAGAAATTCACAGATCAACCCATGACATCTCCAGTAAGTGATAGAAAGTTCTTTTTTTGTCTAAGGCCCAGAAGAAATAGTGAGCTAAATAGACTATAAGCATAAAGGTAATATATATATACCTTTATGCTTATATATATATATATGCAGTGTTATCTTCATTTTAGATGTTGAAAGGGTGTTTTCTTTTCTGTGGGAAACTGGTCCAAATAGTTCTTTGAGTGTTTAAGATGGCAGACTCCTGGACAAAACGCTTCAACAAGATGCTATGCTGACAAGGGGAGGGGCGATGAGTGTAAGGGGATATAAGATGACTTTCATGCTTTGTTCTGTGTTCACCTTTGTTGCACCCATATTTCCAAATACTTTAATAAACTACTTTGCTGCTTTCAAGTTGTTGTCTCAGGTAATTCCATATGTGAGCATGTACTGTTTATAACAACTATAATATCAATCTCCATGTCCATGATTTTTTTTGTTAAAAATTGAAAACTTCTAAAAAATTATTTTTTCTGTTGTAAAGTATCGGTTTACAATAGTTTACAAAAGTTCTTGACTCTTAAAAAAATCCATCCCTATCTTCCCTGTTTTAAATGTCTGTCTCTTTTTCCATGATTTTTTATTTTTCATATTTTCATAGGAAGTATATTCTTGAAAAAAAAATTATCAAGTGTTTTGAGCCAGAAATGGCAACCCACAACTGCTTAGTTAATTTAAACAAAAAACAAAAAACGGCGGGGCAGAATATTAACTGACTTACATGAATTCATCCATTCTCCATAAATCCATTTCTGGTTTACAGAGGCTTTATTTTTAGCATTATTTATATTAATGTGTCCCTTTGTATGTTAGTGTGTTGGTCACAAACATGCAAAGATACGTAGGCATGTCCATTTACTTGGTTGCTTTTTAGAAAGTTGTTGTGGCAGCTTCATCAAGTTGAAATGTTGAATTACTTTGTCCACAATCTTCATGAATGGCAGCAGTTTCAATGGCATCAGTTTTTGCTGCCTGCTTTTTCCTGCACATAAAAATAATACATTGATTAGTATTTAACTATTTAAAAACTATCAGCATGTGCACAGAAAATACAGTGTTTTTCTAGTAAACTTCTGCTTAATATCAGTCTTGACAAACATTTGAAACATGGTAGGTATTGGTTAAAAATACCAGTGAGATACATGAACTGAGAAAGGAGATGGCTGAGGAATTCTGGCAGTTGAAGTCCACCTATCTTAAAATTCATAAGGTTGAGAAACACTGTCATATATTGTACAAAATGAACCTTGATTTAAGACTAAAGATCCATAAATAGCACTTACTTTTTTCGATCTTTCTGTCCAATAATGATCAAGGTGATGATTCCAATCACTACGATACCAATCACAACTCCAAATACTACAAGCCACACCGTTATGGGTGATTCATAAGGTGGTGCCAATGTTGGTAAGAGGCCAACAAATTCCAAAGTTTGATCAGTCAGTCTGAAAGCTTCATTGATTCGGTCCCGAGACAGACTGTAAATTAAGTTGGAAATTTTCTTTAAAATATTTCTAGGCATTCTACTAAAGTGTTTATTTTGCAATTGTAAAGTGAACCTGCAGTGATATGTATAACAAGTATTAGATGTCCTTCCGTCCTTCCTCCCTCCCTCCCTCCTTTCTCTCTCTCAGAATTTCTGCTGTTTAGTTTGGCCTTTTACATTTTATCAATAAATAAAAAGTTATACATTCACTATTTATGGAGACCCCATTGACAATTTTCATCTTTCCTGACACTGTAGTATATTTAAATGTTTTAGACTTTTAAACTATTCTAAAGTGGTAGAAGACATTCTTATTTTGTTTGCCTTGTAATTCAGTTTTTATTTTTCAGTCGTATGTCACATTCATTATAATTTATTTACCTAAATTTATATGTGATTGCAGTCTGATAGTTCAATACAATGTGAACATACTTTGATCTATTTTCTCTATTGAATTTGGAGGGTGGATGTTGATATGTAGTAGGTATTGCTATCAAATTTCAATATTTAATGAATTACAAGAAGAAATTTGTTACATTAGATCTGATCTTAGTATTAAAATGTAATGCCATTAGACTGCATTCTGTTGTTCTATTATCACAATATATAAGATGATAATTATTATATACATGACTCAACACTGGAAATAGGCTATTTTTGTTGATTTTCTCATTCTTATTTCACTCTGGAAAAAAATCATGTTTTGTATGTTATATGTATGTATGGTGTATGTATATCCATACACCAATGATGTTGATCAACATTAACATCAATATTATGTGGCTTTCCCATTCTGAGCTTGATTATACGCACAAAGCAAGATAATTTAATGTTGCCTGTATGCCATTTTTTCAAATTACTCATACAATCTTTACTCTATTTTCCTGCATTTAGAAAGTTGTTGCGTTTTGACTGATGACATCATGAATACATCCATAGGTTTCCTTGAAAACAACACAGAAGTAGTTTACTACCATGATTCTTCTGGGATGTTTTTTGACTTAACAATCTTAAATGTATAGTCCTGATATTCCCTAAAGATATCCCATCCAAGTACAAATCACCCTGACCCTATTGATTTATTTACAGTCCAAAGTTTCACCTGATTGCTTCTTCCACTTCAGATTTAGGAACCAATTCTGAAATATTTGTTGGCATGCTGACTGTAAAATAAAAGGAGATCCTCTCTGTCACAGGACTCACATGGACATTATCTGTTCTGGTGGGAGAGAAATTTATATTGATTAGAAATATTCAGGCTTAGAACTATCTGTGTTAATATTTGATCCAAATTATATGCCAACAAAGGGATCCCTCCCATTGTCATTAGAATATGTTGATTGCAAACACTGACTACATAATATTTATTTATATATACAAAAAGGTGGAAAAAGAGCTCAAATAATCCAAAAAATACATATTTAATCTTCTTATGAAATATCTAAATAAATGGACACCAATAACTAAAATTAACTTAATATTCTTTACATAGAAAATATGATTTTTTTTTCCTTCAGGATCAAATTATTTGAGTCTATACTTCTGGCAGCCTTACACAAATTATTAGAAAGAGTAAAGCAACATCTTGTCCGAGTCATATGTATTTTCATATCAGATATTTTCCTCTATATCCTTCTATTATAATAGATAATAATGAGAAAATAAATGAGAAAAATAATGTTTTCTATTATCTATATATTCTATTTTCTTGACAATATTTCCCACTTTCCTTCTTTTCCTTTTCTCCTTTCTCCCTCTTTTTCCATTGCTCAGGTGAGCCATATGAAACATTCTAGGACAAGGATGTCAAACTGGCGGTCTGCAGGCCCGAAGCATCCAGCACAAGCCATGACCACCCCAGTTCTGTGAATGGGAAAAATGTTGCTAAACATATGACAGCATCATGATGCTATGAGATTGATTCCTGTGTTCTAGGAGTATGGAAAATAGAGCTCAACTGGGATTGTAGGCGAAGAGAAATTACTTTTTCTCTCCTGTTTTCAAACAGAAATAGAATTTCTATAATTAATAAAGTATTTAATTAATTAAGCATTTACAATTAAAGCTAATCCCATCTATTACACTATTACACTTGTTAGATCAGTGCGAATGCAGCAGGTGAGAGTAGCTAGTGATTTCAGCACTTTTTATTTCCAGCAAAATGTGACTTCGCTCTGCCGGCTGGGCTGCCAGAGTTCACCCTTTAAGGAGCTCCAGGCAAACAAGCCAGCCAATGACAGCAGTTCAAATTTCTTGCAGTTGGGACAGCCAATCCGTGGCGAGTATGACATCTTATGTAGATTCTAGCCAATCCGCAGCAAGCATGAAAACTGATGTAGATTTCTGACGTACATACAGACGTAACACACCTCCCCCCTAGAATGAACAGTGTCCAATCCCCCGTCAACGTATGTGATGTAGACCTCCAGGTAGGCGGGGCACGCCAACTTCCTGCTGGACCTGCACAGTTCACTTGTCCCCGGGATCTCGGCTGCAGCAGTCAAATCTGCTGTTACTCCAGCTTCCTGGGAAGGAACCTTCTGGAGCTCCTCGGCCTGCGAGTCGAATTCCGGCCTAGTTCCTTCGGCTTCCAAGACCATCGCTTCCCGCTGGACGCCCTCAATCCCAGATAAGTGGTTGCAGCTGGGTTGGTGTGTAGTTCCCTTGTTGGGCCGGTGTGTAGTTCTCTTGTTGGGCCACTGGGTAGACCTGGTTCCCAGTCATCTGCTTCCCAGCCAGCAGTTGAGCGTGCTACTCAGGGCGGAGATCTCAGGTTCTTTGAAGGTTGCTCTGGCCGTCCACTCGCAGTCCAGTCACCCTGTTTCTTCAGCTTGGTGTCCCCCAGGTAGTGTGAGTTGGGCAATATGCCTCCTCCAGATTTGCCCGTCCTCCAGCTCAATGTGGTATGACTTGGGGCCAGTGACAGCCATGACTCGGCCCACCAGCCAGGTCAGGTACCCCACATAGCTGTGTGTGAATACCTGGTCCTGTATGTTGAATGCCCGCATGGGCCGTATGAGGTAGTCTGGGTGATATCGGTCAAGTCACGATCTCAGCCTTCTTCCTATTAGCCCAACTCCACTGGGCTCTTGTTGGTGGTCATATGGGGGGGTGATGTGTTGAGTGAGGAGGAACTGGTTGACTTTTTCCTGCCAATTCCCTGGGCCCATTTGGGTGAGGGTTTCCTTGGTTAGTCTCATCATCTGCTCCACCTGCCCATTGCTTGCTGGGTGGAAAGGAGAGATGAGTATGTGCTGGATCCCTTGCTGGGTGAGGAATGCCTCCATGGTCTTGGCTGTCAGTTGTGGGCCGTTATCGGAAACCAGGATGTCAGGTAGACTGGGTGGCGAAGAGTCATCGGAGGGCTTGGACAGTGGCTACTGCCATGGTTGTCTGCATAATGATTACTTCTAGCCATTTGGAGTATGCACCCACGGCAATTAGGAATGTTTGTCCTTCTACTGGCCCTGCAAAATCAATGTGTATGCGGGACCAGAGCCCCTTGGCTGCTTCCCATTCATGAGTGGGTGCCCGTGGTGGCGCTGGTCACATTCCTGGCAGAGTTTGCATATGGCCACTCACTCGGTAATGTCCATCTGGGGCCACCAGATGCAGCTCTGGGCTAATGCCTTCATTCTGATGATCCCAGGGTGCCCCACGTGTAACACGTCCATGGCTCTCCTCCAAAGCTTTTGGGGAACAATGACCCTTTCTCCCCACAACACACAGCCTTTTATGATTGACAGTTTGGTTTACTTGCTGTGGTAACTCTGGTACTCCTCCCCCAGTCTCTCCTGTGGCCACCCCCTCAACATCCAGTTCAGAACTTTCCATAATATTTTGTCCTTTTGGGTGTGTTCTGCAATATCTCTGGAAGTTACTGGGCTGGTTGGGTTGATGTCGATCAGCAGTACTTGGGTGGTGGGTATGGGGTCTTCCACTAGTTCTGGCAGTGTGCAGTGGCTGAGAGCATCGGCGTGGCTGATGTTTTTGTCAGGTTGGTGGATCAGCTCACAGTGGTACGCAGTGAGGAAAATGACCCATCTGGTCATTCTCTGGGACATGTATGGAGGGGTCTGTTGGTTGCCGGCGAAGAATCCTAATAGGGGCTTATGGTCGATCACTACCTCGAAATGTCTTCTGTATATGTACTCGTGGAACTGCTTGATTCCTGCCACCACGGCTAAGGCCTCTTTATCAATTTGGCTGTAGTTGCGCTCAGCCGGTGACAGGGTCTTTGAATAATATGCTATTGGTGCTTCTGTTCCATCTGGTAAGCGGTGGCTGAGGACCACCCCGACTCCGAAAGGGGAAGCATCACAGGTGATCCGGACCGGCAATGTGTGGTTGTATTGAATAAGGATGCTGTCAGATGAGAGGAGGTCTTTAGCTGCTGCGAATGCTTGGTCTTCCCTCCGTCCCCAAGTCCATGGTGTCATCTTCCCCAGGAGATTGTGCAGTGGCTCAGCAATGATGGTCTTCTGTTGTAAAAAAATGCTGTAGAAATGTAACAGTCCCAAAAAGGCTTGTAGTTCTGCCTTATTCTTTGGGGTGGGAGCGTTCTTAATGGCGTTCACCTTGCTGTTGGTCAGGTGGATACCCAACCTATCTATTAAGTAGCCCAGGAACTCTACCTGTCTTACGCCGATTTTGCATTTATTAGGGTTTACTTTGAGTCCTTTTTCCTGGAACCTCCCCAAGGTCTCGTGCACGCGTTCCATCAACTGGCCTATTGACTCTCCTGATATAAAAACATCATCAAAGTATGGCATCACCCCTGGGATCCCATGCAATAGCCACTCCATTAGGCACTGGAAAAGTCCTGGGGCTATGCTGACCCCAAACTGCAACCTGGTACATTTAAATAGATATTTTTTTTTATTTTTTAGATATTTTTATATTAAATATATTATGGAATATATTATGACTGTTACCATATACTATTCTGTTTCTGCCCTGGATTAATGTAGTCTAGAATGTGTGAGGGTACATAATATATACTCATATGAAACACGCGCATACACACTATATGTGTGGTGTGTGGTGTGTGTGTGTGTGTGTGTGTGTGTGGTGTGTGTGTGGTGTGTGTGTAATCAGAGATCAATAGTTTATTCAGAGAAGAAAGGCAAAATGAAAGTCATGGCAGTGCAACTGAAGGGCACTTCACCATAAATGGAGTGTTATTTTGCCTTGTTTGAGCTCCCCTTGCAGACACTATTGTCATGAAATAGTATAAAAGTAATCCCCATTGAAGATAAAAGGAAATATACTTACTGAAACAGCACTGTTTTAGTCTTGATTTCTAAAAAGTACTTCTGCATGGCATAGGCGATGGTTGATTTAAATAAATACATTTCACTCGCAGTCCAGTTGTACTGTAAATTCAAGGTGACAATTACATTGACAGTTGCATGCTTAGATACAGCCCCTTGAAAATAGTTTTCAAATTACTTTCGCCTTACTGTAAATATCTCTATATACGTTTTCATCTATGTAACTGAGCACACAATTGAATTCAGATACAATATTAGGATCTCTACAAATACAATCAGCCTCCAAACTATTCTCTGGTTACAGAGATTCCCATTTTCTCTTCACCTCCCACCCCGCGGGCGAGTGAATAATCTCCATCCTATTAGAAGAGGCATATCAGGTAAGTACCAATGTCCTTTTTCACCATTAAATGAGGAAAAACTTTTCTTTGTCAAAAATTGATAGGAGGAAGATAAAATAACTGTCTTGAAAAACTGAAAGACTGTTGTAAAAAGCACAGAATTGTTCAGTTATTTTTTATTGTTTCTGAGGGTAGGACCAAAAAACTATTCAATTTAGATATGTTGGTGATGTTGGCCAGAAAATGAAAAATGTCTCAAGTAAAAATAGTGTGTTATATGAAAGCTCAATATTTGACAAAGGGATTTCCAAATGCACTGATCTTTTACACAATGTTCACCAAAATTCAAGCTTCTCCACACTTTTTCTATTTTCCACAGATTCTCTATTTTTCCCCATCATACCTTTATTGTTTGCCTAAAGGTGAGAATTATATTCTATCTTCATAGGATTGCATTGTGATCTATTTTCATTGTACTTAAAATAAATCCCAAATAATGAAATTAAGATGATATCATCTACTTACTGCATCATCACCGAGTGCTCTTTTCAAGCTGATCCTCACTTTGATGGCATACTTAGAATCTAGATTTAAAAAGAGAGAAAATAGAATTAATAATGTATACTTCAAAATATTCTTATTTATAATTCAAATTGCTACTGATTTTTCCCCAGTTCTTTCTCTGAAATGGTCAGAGCAGCATCAATAGACAAGGATGCCTCCCCCCCCCAAAAGAGGGGCATATATTACATCATACAACAAAACCTACATGGAGTCCAATTTACATTCCAACCAACATTTTCATTGCTGTTCTGTTTCTCCAGCCACTTGAGTAAGGGATCAAAGTAGTGACGAAATGGTGTTGCATCCATCTTTTGGCTTTTTGTAATACTTTCTAAAGCTTTTGTCCAAGGCTGAGAACTACCCAAAGCAAGCATATCCCTGTATTTAAAAAGACATAGGAAATTTTGATCACTTGTCAGACTCGCTGTGTTAAGGAAAGACAAGGCATACTAAATTCAAGAAGAGTTCTAATCAGCACCAACAAAGACTGTGGTAAACATCTTGAATGAATAGGATAATAGAATTCAGCTGTTACAGCTGAATAGGGCCCAGATTTTCAGTTGTGCATGCCTGATGCTAAAGTGAAGAGCAATCTCATCGAAACCCAGAAAACTCTTAAAAGTGTACAAAAAAAATATGGAACAGAACTTCCTCTGTGTAATTGCTATTATAACATCAGTTTCCAGGTAATATGACATATCTCTAAAATCCATGAGAACTGCATACCTTGATTATTGAGAGATTCCTTTAGACTATGGGTTCATATGGATGTTAGCATTTGCTTTCCCTCCATCCAGAATCTAAATCTTTTGAACTTGAAAACTTACAAGCATGTTTGGAACTTGAAAGCTTACAGGGTTGACAGTGAAGAGAGGGGCCTAATTTTCATCTTATCATCTGTTTCTTCTTTTAAAGCAAATGTAGACTAACAGTATCTGGATCCTACAGTAAAAATGTATTTCACTACAGCTATTCAAATGATACATTGTGAAGCAAGTTCTCGCTTACTTCAAAATGCGTCCAGCATCTGTAGAATGAGAAATCTCACATTTATAAAGTTCCCCTGTGTGACCAGAAGCGTTGCAAAGTGCCTCTTGAAATTGGAACTGGTAAATGGTCCTTGTATAATATCTAGAAAAGGGAAAGGGAGAAGATAAAACCAATTTACTGATTACAGTAAGAATATCAACATTTTTCTGAAATTGGGCAGCTATAGAAATTAAATAAATAAAACATTTTATAAAGTTAGTTTTATAAAAGTAATTTTATTATATTAAAATGCTGATCACATCAAGATATTTCATTCAGCCTATCTGCTTATCACATGTCACCATTATTTTATCAAGAGATTAGAGCTGTGCAAAGTTTTAAAGTGGTGCTTCAATTTGAGGAATTCAAAAAGAAATTGAAATTCTTTTTAACAAAAATAGTAAAAAATAAAGAAGCAAATAAGAGTAACAAGTTAAACCTTATGAAAGAGTAGTCATTGGCAACATGAAATAGAGCAGCAGGGTCACAATATTCTTCGTTGTGAGGCAATGGCTCCACAACCCCGACTATCTCTCGCCTGCAGAAAAGAGAAATGTTTCCATTAGTATTTGAGAAGAAAGCAAGATTTAAAGTCAGACACTTTGTTGTATTAAGAATTGAACTGCTAAAAAAAATGTCAATATATTATAAAAGCTTTTGTCCCAGTTTTACATATACATTGACTAAATCCCTCATATAAAAGAAAGAGCATCGTCCTCAAGGCAGGCATCTCAAGTATATTTACGTTTCTGATAATATAACATAACATAACATAATATAACATAACTATGATATGATATGATGATATGATATGATATGATAGCCTGAATCAGAGCTTTGTTTTGTATAACCCACACAAGGGACAAGTGCAACGGAACCTGAATTAAGCTTAAAACTTGGACTTAGAATAAAGGGCTCTTTCAGTGTTCCTAACTCTGGTTTTCTTCTGTCATGTTTTACTTTCACCTTTTTATAAGTTAAACATTATTATGTCTTGGAAATGGAGCAAAGTAGATAAAGTGATAGCTACCTGTGATGGCTACCTGTGATGGGAAAATAACGGAGGCTGGTATATTCTTGAGTTTTCAAACTACTGCAGTAATTCATCTTTCAGAAAAGATGCAGCATCTCATCCTTTAGGTTCAGCTCAGCCATCTATTTGTTGCTGGATGACCCTTCTGTCAGCTGCTCATCTTCACTTTCTTTGAAGCTTGCTAGCAACTGCTATAACCAGGGTGGAGGGGGCATCTGAAAGGGGAAGCATGCTGGGGGTGTGAAAGAATGCTATGGGAAATTGGGGAGTATGGACACTAAAAGGAACCAGAGGTACCAACCAAGCCCATTTGCTGAGCTTCAAGGACACCAATCCTGGGAAAGGAATTTACAGTGCCTGAGGCACCAAGTTCCCAAAACATTGGAACAAGATCCGATTGGACTGTTCTCCCAGTGGGCAGGGCTTTGGGCACTGGAGATTGCTTTCAATATATGATTTTCATGTGGTTTTTTCCTCAGCACTTGCCTCAGCAACGCTGCACCCAGCATCTCTAGTAAAAGTACCTTTTATCTAAAACTTATGGATCAAAATTTATGGAGTAAAACTTTTATAGGAAGTAGCTGGGACCAGTCTGACACCTTCTTTTTAACTCTCCAAGCACAGGAGGAGATATGTCAATGTGACATCGCCAGAAACCACAGAATGGCCCTTTTTAATAATTCTTTACTTTCTTATTTATTTAATAAATACATTTCTGTGACTGCACATTTCACTAAACATGACTCTGGATAGTGTACCCACCAACAGTTAAAACAATATCACAACAATTAAAAATCTTTTTAAAAAATAAATAAAGATGAGATCAGTATGGTAAATAAAAGACTTTGGGAGAACACCCATATAAACATAACACAACTATTGCATAGGCTCCTTGTGGGATCCCCAATATGCTAGAAGAACCAGATTTTAGGCCTTCCCAAATGCTAATAGAGATGGAGCTAACTCCACATGGGGAGAGCGGTGTGATGAGATGGGTAGATATGACCAGGAAATGGCAGTCCATCTAATACCTTGGACCCATGATATGCAGAACTTTAAAGGTCAAAACTAGCATACAAGGTGCCAGCTAGTACAATTTATGAAACAGAAGTATAAGATGTGTCAACCAAGAGGCACACATAACTGTCCATGCAGTCACATTCTGCACTGGCTGAAGCTTTCACATAATCCTCAAGGGCAGCTCCATGTAGACTGCATTTCAATAATTAATTCTGGAGTAATCAGGGCATGAATGACTTTGAGTAGCGCCTCATCGTCCAAAAAGGACACAACTGATTCATAACATGAAGTTGTACAAAGGCCTCCCTATGAGCAACTAGAAAGCTGATCAGGAATCATGAGCCTAGAAGGCCTGTCTGATGTCTCCATCTGGAGTAGGGCCAACATATCAGAGCCAAAGTTGGTAAAATCCCAGTTCCAAAACCCCAAAACCCAAGCCACTTATCAGTTTTGCCAGAGTTCAGCTGAAGTCTGTTGTTCCGCATTCAGACTTCTACAGTTTCCAAACTCTGGGACAAAAAATCAATGGTATCATTTAATTGTCCAGGGGCGGAGATGTATATTTTAATATTATGAACATACTGATGATAGCCCCACCCATGGTGACAGCTAATATTAAACGAGAGTGGAGAGAGTACCAAGCCTAGTGACATCGCATATATTAGGGGCTGTAGGTAGGATTTCTGACTCCAAATTAACATTGACTAGCAGTATTCTTATAGGAAGGAAAACAACCACATGTTCTCTGGTATCAAAGGCAGCCAAGAAGTAAAGGAGAGCAAGGACAGATAAATTATCCAAGTCCTACTGCTACTAGAAAATCATGCAAAAGCATGACCAATGCTGTTTTCACTCCATTACTAGGCCTGAAGCCTGATTGAAATGGGTTCAAATAATCCACTTCATCCAGGGTCTGCTGAAGCTGCTGTACAACCACCTTCTCCACAACCTTCCCTCAGAAAGAAAAGTTAAATACTGGATGAAAATTGTGGTGGGATCAACAATAGCTTCTTGAGGAGGAGACAGACCAAAGCCTCAAGGAGTGCCAGGATGAATTAACAGTCAAACAAAGACTCAATATATCTATTTTACCCCAAAACAGTATTAAATTTCAGGGCTATCATCATAAGGTATTTGAGACATCAATTGATTGGTTTTATATCTCCCTTTTTATTGTTCTCTATAATAAGAGCATTTTGTCAGGAGAGCATGTCTTGGCAAATGTACCATAAACTTGATAATGAAATAGAGAATAAATTAATTTTTAATAAGTTCTCTTTCCATTACTCTTTACTAATAATAAATATTTACTGAGCTGAAACATTTCACCATTCCAGAGATTTTTCATATTTTTCTATAGTTGTGTCTTTTACTTACTTCATTTCCCACCATTTCTTCATCCATTGATCTTTGGGGATTTGCTCAGCAAATACCATCCATCGCCATTTCTCTAGCATGTACGTGAAAGGCATTGTTCCAACAATAGTCAGTGCCTGTTTGAGCAGAAAATTGATATCTGTTTCTGAAAAAGAACAAAATTGATTGAAAGGATTAAGTAGAAATTCTGTGTTGTTGAAATTGCAATTGTGCTGCCCCAGCAGTATATAGCTAATGTAGGAATTAAGAACTGTCTCCTTTAAGAAACTACCTCATGGGAAATNATGGAAACCTTAAAAAAAGGTAAGGAGCTCAAGCAGGCAGGTGGGCCCTCCGAAGCACCATACCGGAATGGTATGCAGTGCTCCAGGCAGGCTCCAGTATGCCCTTACCAGGGCGTACTACCTGCAACCCACCACTGGACCTTTCCCAAACTGAATCCTAAAAACAAAACTGATAATACTATAAAATATATTGCACTTGATTGCATACAATAGTGTAATTGTTTAAACTAGCACCCAAATAACCGGTTGGGAGCAGGAGAAGAATTTTGAGGGAAAGTAGTATCAGGTGGGCTAAATAACATATGTGTTACATATTTCATAAACAAGGAAGTTGAAACTCCAATAGGTTAGAACACCTGTATAATTTTAATCCCTTAATATTTGAATGAATGCCTTATTTTCTGTCACATGGGCCTTCAACGTGCTAGCCACACATTCCTTGGCACAAAACAAATATCCTAAGTTCTTCAAATAATTAAATTAAAAGAATGTCAAAGTTTATTCTTGTCATTGGTGTATGTTTTACACAATTCAAGAATTATCAAGGATATAACTCTGGAAAGAATCAGAGGAAAGGGTAAAATAAATACATGAAGTACACAAAAAGAATGTAAGAATTGTCCCCAAAATATTAAAAAGAAAATGAAACAATATTAAAAATAAATTGTTAACAATAGTATATTAATATAATTACTTGCACATTAAAAATAAATGAAGAGTTTATTCATTTAAATAATTTATATGGCTACTCTTCTGATTATAGTGACTCTAGGCAGTTAAAACTCAGCAGTTAAAAACAGTAGCTCATGATACCTGAGATAAATAATACATTTCAATCCAAAAATAATTTTAATAACAGAAATCTGTTATTTGCTAAACCGGGCATGGGCATGGCCAGCGTGTGATGCATCTGGCTCAAGGGCCATGAGTTTGACACCCCTGCTCTAGATGATAGGCTTAAGATACAGATGGCTCTCAACAGACTTGAACACTGAGTCCAATCAACATAAAGAAAAGTAAGGTCTTGCACTTAGGCAAGAAAAACCAAAACCATACAGATTAGGTGAGACCTGGCTTAATAGCAGTGATCATGAAAGGGATCTTGGAGTCCTGGTGGACAAGCAACTAAATATGAGCCAACAGTGTGTGATAGCAGCCAAAAAAGCCAATGCAATCTTAAATTGCATTAACAGAGGGATTGAATCAAGATCACATGAGGTACTAGTATCACTCTATAAAGCCTTAGTAAGGTCATACCTAAAATAATGCATCCAGTTACCACACTATATGAAATATGTTGAGACTCTAGAAAGAGTGCAGAGAACAGCAACAAAGATTATTAGGGCCTGGAGATTAAAATATTTGCAAGAACTGGGCATAGCTAGTCTAGTGAAGAGAAGGACCCGGGTGACATGGAAGCAGTGTTCCAACCAGGGACGTGTAGTCAGGGGAGGCAGGGCCTCACCACTGTCATCATGAAAAAGAAAAACAAATTTAAAAGGAAAAAGACTGAGGTAGTTGCTGCCAGAATCACAGTGGATGACTCTATCTTTATGATCACTTGAGCAGAGTTAAGCAAGGGTTAAAAGGCGAAAAATTCCTTATGCAAAGGAGGCAC